AGATCTGCTTCCTCCCCGGTCCCACCTGCTTCGCTTTCCATCACCGCTTCCGCCCCAGCGCAGGAAAGCAACGCTTGTGTCCGAGCAGCCGGGAATGGACCGGCCGTGGCTTCCTGCCACCCCGATCGCTCCTGGCCACATGGGAAAACACGTCCTCCTGCCAAAGCCCAGCTTGGGAGAGCTTCCCGCACCATCCTCCCGCTCTGGAGCTTGGAGGGGCCGGTCTCACCCTGGTGACGGAGCCAGAGGCCCGCAGCAGGCATCCCGCTTGTTGGGTGATGGAGACCAGAGGAGTTCAGTGTCGGATGCTGTGGATGGTGGGTGGCCAAACCAGTTTCACGCATGCTTGTGCTCTCCTGAATGCAGGAGTATTGCTCAGCTGCTTTACCTCCCCACGGTCCAAAAACCCCCAGGCTCAACTTTCTGGCATTTCTGAAAAGCCTGATCCAACCTCCAACAAGCCCTTTGGCCAACATCAAACTCCTTTGGAGCTTTCCTGGGCAGTTGTCCCCAGCCCAGGAGGGTGCTCAGCCTGCTTTCTGCCAAAATCTTGGTAGCACAGCCAGGGTTGAGTCCCAGCTGCTTGCAGGGACCAGAGCAAGTCAGCATTTCTCCACTCCTCATGGTTTTACGGAGCTGGTTTCCAGCCCCCAGCACCACGACTCATTTGCCCACTGGAGCACGTGGCAGCTGCACCGGTACCAGCACCCACAGCTCGGAAAAAAAAACATCCCGATGTTTGTAAGCTGTACTGTGGTGAGAAAGCGGGACCGCACGCTTTTCCTGGAGACTCCTCGGGACCGGGTAAGGAAAGCAGGAGGTGATGGGACGCGCACACACACACACACACACGTTTTTCTTTGCCTTTCACAACGGCCCCAGCATTTAAACGGACCAGGTGGCAGCAAAGCAGCTCCCCCGTGGGTGTTCGAGCTGGAGGTGGGTCGGAAGGGTGCAGAGCACGGCTCCATGGCAGGCTGGTGCTGGTGGGGACGATGAACCCACACCCCAAGGCCGCCCCGAGGAGTTTGGCTTTCGCCTGTCGCAGCCCTGGCAGCCATTTAAACACCCTGCTCGTACTCATTAGCATCTGCCTGACGGTTGTCGTTGTTAATTGTTAGAACTGGTTTAGTTATTAGCGTTGTCGTGATTGCTTGAAGTCCTGTGTTTTTACACTAAATAATATGTTAGGCTCTTGCCTCTGAAAAGCTGGGCTGCGTTTCAAGGGGGAAAGGTTATCGCGGCGCCGGGAACCCCAGCCCTCGTGCCTTTTGCCTTGGTAATTTGTGCTCCTGTCCAGCTGGACCAAGGGCGAGCGGGAGATGATGGGAGTCCTTGAGCAGAGGGCCGGGCTGCAGGGAAGGCGAGAAAGGGCTGTTTCTTAATTATATCACATGGCCAAAGCGCCAGATGAGCATTTGGCTAATGGAAAACCGTCGTTTCTAATTTCTGAGAACCACAAGGATGCCACGATGCTGGAGCAGCCCAGCAAATCCAGCTGAGAGCTTCAGGCTGCTCCTGCCAAGACACCCATTTGCTCCGCTCGAGGCTGCTTAATCCCTGCCTTCTGCTCTGGACGGGCTTCGGCGCTGTCGCTGCAGCGCGAGCTTGCCAGTCACATACAAACAGAGCAAAATTCCTCTAGTTGGAAAATAAAACAGCCTTGCAGCCTGCCTCCTGTCACCATCCCCTGCGCTTGGCGTGGCGGGAGGTTTCACCCAGCATGAGCCCAGCAGAGACAACCCCCAAGCTGCAGACGGTTGTCATTAGGCTTCAGCATCAACAGGCTTTGGAAGCAACACGCCCGGAGCGAAGGGGTTGGGGCAGATCGTGCCTCTCCCACAGCCCCTGCTCGGGGCTGCTCAGGCTGCGGAAGAAAATGATGCGGTTGTCACATTTGGCTGGTTTCCTTAACGACCCCCAGGCCCGTAAACACGGGAGCAGGCTCTCGTCCCACTTACATCAGTGTAGATCAGTCGCACTGAAATCACGGCTCTGCCCTGAACGCAGGTTTAAACATCTAGACGGGACGTCAGGGCTTTTGAACCAAAACCTCCTATCTGTGAAAGTGAGCAGGATTAACGCAGGGTAATGCCGGAGTGCGGGGATTGCTTGTCTGGATCCGACTCACAGCCCACCCAGCCCGGAGCTGGCAGGTCCAGAGGAGCGTGGACATCCACCGTCCCACGTGGAGGCTGCAGAGTGAAGTCCTCCCTTGCCTGGCCTTGTCTTTGAGGGCTGAAATGGGACCCAGCATCCCTGCTCTGCAAACAGTCTTTAATTTTAACAAGATATTCTCGGTAGCTGGCACGAACTTCTTTGTCGCTTTTGAAGCTGCGGCTGGGAATGCAGCGCCGAGCCCGACCGCGGCATCTTCCTCGCCTGATGCAACGAATTCTGACCTTTTGAAGGCAGGGCTGGAGGGAGGGGTGAGACTTTCCACCCGAGCAGCTGACATAGCTGGAAAAAAAACACCCAGGCTTTTGGGAGTGGGAACCTTCCTGTGGGCTGGAGCATTTTTTCTCTCCCCACTCGCAGAGTGTCGTTCTCCGCTCCTCGACAGGGTGGCTGGACGCCTCCGAGGTCCCCTCGTCCCTTTGAGGAGCGGGGAGGGAGGCAGCTCCCAAGCGCTCCGGGTAAACGAGGGACGGTTGAGATGAGGCTGATGGTGTCTTCCCGGCAGGCCCCCCGCAGCCCCGCGGGTCCCTGTCCCGGGGCAGCTCCGGGGCGGCGATGGGCTCTTCCGGCTCTGGAAACACCTTGCAGGGAGGTGTATTTTCTATCTCAACCTGAACCCTCCTCCCCTCCCAATCCATTATCGACACAGAGCAGAACTCTGCCGAGGAGCAGAGGCTGACGTGGGGGATCGTTATGCCGAAGCCTCTTTGAAGCGAGTTAACGACGATGCTCCATAGAGTTACTGGTGTTTTTGACACCGCCGGAGCAGCTCTTCCCCAACCTTGTCTCCCACAGAACACCAGTAGGTCGGTGCCAAGCGCCGTCCCCCTGTACCGGGTTATTCTCCGCGTCGCAGTGTTGTGCTCACGCCCTCCCGTAACGACCTTTTTGTGTTAATTACACAATTCGCTGGCTCCTGCCAGAGCTGCTGCTCACCTCGTCCTCCTGCTCTGAGCCCGCGCGCCCTGATATTTCCTCTGCCTCCAGTTCATAACCTCTGGTTCCTGCGCTTAGCACCAGCTTAAATAACTCAGCAGCTCTTACTCCTTCTATTCCCTCCACAATCTTTTCCTCACCACTGTGTGCTCCCCCTTTAATACTTTCCAAAGGATGCAGACCTACTTATGATTTTTTTTTCCCAGCCTTTCTATTTAAAGCTCCCCAAGTCCCTGAGTCATTCCCGCTGCTCCCTGCTGTGCCATTACCCATCTCTGTAATGTCCTTTTTCATATTTAGGTGATCAAATCTGGGCACAGGACTCCAGATGCACCCTTATCGCTCGGTCCCTGATACCATATTAGAAACATTGCCTCCAACATGTGCTCGGTATTTTCTATTTATGCTTTCTGGGCTTGGTTCAGCCGCATGGCAGAGCAGCACAGATCGCTGGTACAGCCCCAGTGCTCGAATATCCCCCCCCCCCCCCTCCGCAAAATGTTGTTTTCCTGGGTTTAATTATCCATGGGGGTCACATCATGGAGATGTCCGTGTCGGGACAGCTGGATTCACCCCCGCTTTGGTGCTGTGCCATCAGAGCAGTCTCCTGCCTGAAGCCTGTGGTCCAGGAGCATGTTTTAACCCTCATCGTGTGTGCTTGAACACTGGGAATCTGGGGGGTTTGGGGTGGTTTTTTTCATGCTGTGAAGGATCTGTTGGATGCGCTGGGACAAGCCGCTTCCCCAGTCTGCAAACTGGGCAGAGCAGCATCTCCTCCGGCCGTGGGGCTCTGCAAGAGCTCGGCATCAGGCTCGGCTGGTCCCATTGCGCGATGGGATTCTTTCTGCCACCTTTTGTGGTGGCCCTGGTCTCTGGGCCAGTTTCTGGGGTGGGAAATGCTGATGTTTGCTTCTGGAAGTGCTGCTGTGACGTTTCCCAGACAACCCACACTCTCCTTTAGCCCAGGGCAGTTCCCAGCTTCGGCACTGTTTGCCCACAGTCTCACCAGCCCAAACCCACGGCTTTCAGTCAACGGATCATTTGCCTCACCAAAAAAAAAGATAAAAAGGGAAAAAAAAGAGTTTGCTGGCTTACATTCCCTTCCATTCCTGCAGCAGACTGTGATCACAGGCATCGAGCAAAGGCTCTGCCTTCCCTAACTCGCAGCTCGACGGGATGATCGAGCCCTGAGCTACCCGGCTGTATCCTGCCGTAGAGGGTTTGGGACCTCCTCTGACCCCCTGGGAGCAGGGGTGGAGGTAGATGTTTGCTCCCCACTCTCCTCCCACCCCTGTTGCTGCTCCAGGTGCTCCCAGTCGAGCAGTCGGTGCTGTTTCCTTGCTGAGCAGGCCCTGCTCCATCGACAGCAACCCCCTGCTTGGCTGCTTTAATTAATAAATAAACTTGGCTGTCACCTTCCCTGGCAGCATGGTCCCAGAGGCCCCGTGCGAATACCGGTGTTAATTAATGGTATTCCTCTTCCGTGGGCTCCGGCATGGCTGTCACCGTGGTGGGGACGCTGCCTGGCAGAGCTGGCGCTGGTGCTATGTGTCCCCTCCTGACCAGGTTATGGATGTCCACTTTGGGGACAGCTTGGTTTGAGCCTGAGGAGGAGATGAGGGATATGGGGGAGAGGGAAGGCGTCTTTGGTTCCCTTTGTGGTTTGTAGTACACAGCTTTAATTCAGGGTCTTCCGAAACAAAGAGGTTTATCAATGTGTTGATGTGTATTTAGTGATAGATATTGCATTTATTTATCGACTGGCCCCTTTTTCCTGCAGTATCTCTGCGTCTTCTGTCTTTTAATTGAAACACAAAATGAACAACACCAACATTTCCTTCCTTTCCCCGACAAATACAGAATCACAGAGTCACAGACTGGTCAGAGTTGGAAGGGACCTCTGTGGGTCACCCAGCCCAACCCCCTGCCCAAGCAGGGTCACCCAGAGCAGGCTGCATAGCACCGCGTCCAGGCGGGGCTGGAATATCTCCAGAGAAGGAGACTCCACAGCCTCCCTGGGCAGCCTGGGTCAGGGCTCCGTCACCCTCAGAGGGAAGAAGTTCTTCCTCGGGTTCAGCAGCTCCCTCAGCCTCTCCTCGTAGGAGAGATGCTCCAGTCCCCTCCTCATCCTCGTAGCCCTCCACTGGACTCTCTCCAGTAGCTCCTCATCTTTCTTCAACTGGGGTGCCCAGCACTGGACACAGCACTGCAGATGGGTCCTCACCAGGGCAGAGTAGAGGGAGAAGAGAACCTCCCTGGACCTGCTGGCCACACTCCTCTTGATGCACCCCAGGATCCCATTGGCCTTCTTGGCACCCAGGGCACGCTGCTGGCTCATGGTCACCTTGTCACCCACCAGGACACCCAGGTCTCTCTCTGCAGAGCTGAGCCAGTTCTCAACCCACCTCACCGACCGCTCATCCAGCCCACACTTCCTGAGCTTCCCTAGGAGGATGTTATGCGGGACAGTGTCGAAAGCCTTGCTGAAGCCCCTCTCCCCCACCACCCTACCCCACTACCCCAATATTTCCCCCTATAATTCCCCATCACCCTAAGCTCTCTTTTTTTGTTTTCTCCCAGGAGGTCCCTGGCGAGATTACACTAATTACTACCAAGGCATGTGGGACTGCAGCGGCGAGCATCCCGACGAGCTCTCCTTCCGCCGCGGAGACCTCATCTACATCCTGAGCAAGGTAAGAGCATCCTCGGCGGCCCTGCGTTCACCGTTGTGGGGCTGGGGCTCGATTGCAAGAAATGGGTAAAAATCAAGGTCCAAAGCAGAGTTAAATTGGAAATTAGTGGAGGGGGGAGTGGGATGCCGGGAACTGGACCCTGGCATCCCGCTCCCCCCTCCATGATTACGCCGTTGATGACCGTAGCCCCTGCCCTCAGACGTGGCTTTTCAAATGCCCCAAAGCAAGATTATTTTATTTTTTTAATATTTTTTTTGCATGGTAATGGAGTCTGTACGTGCTGTTGCTCAGGTATTACAGGGGTAATTGAGTTGCTCAGCCGGGTGTGACCAGGGTTCCCTTCGGCAAGCGCACGTAGGTGAATAAATTAAGTCTTTGCATTAGCAGGTTTGCGGGGGCAAGAGCGGAGCCAGGAGAGCCTGTGACCCCCTCCTGCCCCACTCGTCCCCGCAGGGCTCTGTCCCGGCTCCCAGCCGGTCCCCGCCGGACCTCGGTGGTCTCGGCTGGGCGCGCTGAGCAGGGTCGCGTTTTATGGGGGATGTCTCGCAATGTGCTTTGCACCCCGATCTGGTGCAGGAACAGCGATGAACTTGGGGGGCTGCGCTTCATTTTGCAATGTACTTTGTACCCCAAGGACAGCGATGAACTTGAGGGGCTGCGTTTTATGGGGATATTTTGCAATGCGCTTTGCACCCCAACCTGGTGCAGGAACAGCGATGAACTTGGGGGGCTGTGTTTTGTTGGTGGTGTTTCGCACCATGCTTTGCACCCCAATCTGGTACAGGAATTACAATGAACTTGGGGGGGACTGCGCTTCGATTTGCAATGCATTTTGCACCCCAAGGATGAGGATGAACTTGAGGGGCTGATGTTTATGGGTGGTGTTTCGCACCATGCTTTGCACCCCGATCTGGTACAGGAACTACAATGAACTTGGGGGGCTGCGATTCGTTGTGCAATGCACTTTGCACCCCAAGAACGGCGATGAGCCGGGGGGGTTGCGTGGTGTGGATGGTGTTTTGCAACACGCTTTGCACCCCGATGTGGTGCAGGAACAGCGATGAACTCGGGGGGCTGTGTTTTGTTTTGCAATGCACTTTGCACCCCAAGGATGGGGATGAACTTGAGGGGCTGCATTTTATGGGTGGTGTTTCACACCATGCTTTGCACCCCAATCTGATAAGAGAACTACAACGTACCTGGGGGGCTGCACTTCATTTTGCAATGCACTTTGTGCCCCAAGAACTGCGATGAGCGTGGGGGGTTGTGTGCTGTGGATGGTGTTTTGCAACAAGCTTTGCACCCCGATCTGGTGCAGGAACAGCGATGAACTTGGGGGGCTGTGTTTTGTTGGTGGTGTTTTGCATCTCTCTTTACACCCCAATCTGGTGCGGGAACTACAATGAACTCGGGGGGCTGCGCTTTGTTGTGCAACACACTTCGTACCCCAAGGACAGCAATGAACTTGAGGGGCTGCATTTTATGGGTGGTGTTTCGCACCATGCTTTGCACCCCGATCTGGTACGGGAACTGCAACAAACTTGGGGGGCTGCGATTTGTTGTGCAATGAACTTTGCACCCCAAGAACAGCGATGAGCCGGGGGGGTTGTGTGCTGTGGATGGTGTTTTGCAGCGTGCTTTGCACCCCGATCTGGCACGGGAACAGCGATGAACTCGGTGGTTGTGCCCCGTCCGCCCTCGGCGGGCACCCCCCTCGGCGGCCACCCACCCGGGGAAGGCTGAGCGGACCCGATGCAGGGAAGGGCAGCGTGTGCAGCGGCGGCTCAGCTGTGGTGGGGACGGACTTATGGAGATGAAAAGCACCTCCAAGTCCCAGGCTTGTTAAGACCAAGGTCACATTTTACAGCTGAGGAAAAGAACCAGATTTCGGCTGGCATCCTGGCAGCAGCCCCGGGGGGGAGACGGGCGATCGGCTGGGGGC